TCTTAAAATAGGATTATTAGTTATATGGGTAAATTGATTGGTTCATCCTAGTTCGTTAACGGAACAAAAAACAGTTTGCGCATAAAATATGGATAGGGTCAGAATCCCACAAATTTTCTCCCCTATATTCTCGCCAAATTACAGGCACTTCTCTTCTTTTATAGTGAACCCTCGGAGGAAATGCATTATTCGCATGCTATATGAACCATAAACCTATCTAACTATAAGGCAAAATCAAAAATCATCGGGTCACAAAGTGTTTTGGATGTTAAATTGCTTGAAAAACTTTGCTTCGTCATAAAGTTACTAATTTAAAACAAAATGACTTGGAAAAGTTCTATTAGATAAAGGTACATTTATATATATTAAAATAGCATACTATGGTTTTTATAAAACTATTTTTATTTAAACATTCGGTTTGTACGGGCTAATCTCCAAAACTGATGGACCGATTTAAATGAAATTTTGCATGGTGGTTACCTTAAGTCCCAGGTAAACGTTTAAGATACGTCTTTTTATCCCGGAAAATTAAAGAGTTCCCACAGGCTAGTTAAAAAACTATAGTAACTTATACAGCTTAGTACACAAAAACTACTGATTGGATTTTAATGAAACTTTACAATAATATAAGTTCATACATGAGAATAACAAATAGGATACTTTTTATCCCTGAAAAATTTACGGTTCCCGTGGATAGATTTGTTTTTGTTTGTTTGTAATGTATTATGTACACAGTATATACCCCTAAACAATAGTTTAAAAAATTTGTCCGTTTGTATAATTGCCTGTATGTCTGTTGGCCTGGTTTTGTGTGCGCGTTTCTCGCGAAAAGTAATGAACCGATTTCAACGAAATTTGGTAAAGTGATAACTTATTACTCGAGTCATCCTTTAGGATACCTTTTACTTCAAGAAAATCTTTGTTTCCCACGGGAAAATAAAATAACTGGTTTATCGAGTCCTCCCTAGAAACCTCCCGCTGGCTAAATATTACTAAATTTAATAAGTTGTGTGTGCCATAGATTTGTTTGCAGAACAAAAGGCTCGGAGAGTTAAATTATACTTTCAATTTGCAATACAATACTCGTAATATACTAAATTGATTTTTATTTTTAATCTTACGTTTTATTTCAGACCCTTTATTTTTTTTTATTTTTTTTACGTTGGGAAATGCATTTACGCACGAGGTGTGGGACTCACCGGCAAAGCCAGTACTACCCACTAAAACCCAACAAAGCTTTCCCCCGTCTTAATGGGGCGTCGCAGGGTCGCTTACGCATTCAACTACGACGCCCCGACGGCAGGTCTGCCGAAGCAGACCACAACAACCACGGGGTTGCTCCAAGGTCCACTCTGCTATCAGAGAAGTACCAGGAGCAACCCGCATGGTACACCGCCCTCTAAAGAGGGCCACCTCCCACTGCCCACCGAAGTGGACCACCTCCCTGTGCGTTTCTTGGCTTCGCGCCCGGTTGGGTTGCCGGGCACTACTGAGCCCCCCCACCACGACAAGGTGAACACACGTTGGGGGGGTTTATTTCAGACCCTATCCTGTGCTATCCTAAATAATAAATATGTCCTACACGTCCATGTACGTACGTACTTTTGTAAACTACTAAAACGCGCTGCTTCGCCCACGTTCAAAATACAAAAAAAAAACATATTCTTCTTTCCCTTCCCTTTACAATAATATATGAAAATCTGCCCGGTTTATTGACATTTATGATTACTGCTCCGCTCTCTTGGGTAGTAGCATGATTATATATAGCCTATTAGACTTCCTCAATGAACAGGCTATCTAACGCAAAAAGAATTTGCGCAATCAAATCGGATTAGTAGTTCCTGAGATTAGCGCGTTCAAACTAACTAACAAACAAACAAACTCTACCTCTTTATAATATCACTATAGATAAGGCTTATATATAATATAGGCTTAACACAGAAAGAGCAACACTAGATAGGTTCTTATGGCGTTCTTTTCGGAAGGCGTGTGTCCATTAGTGGGCGTCTGATGGCTGAAATGACGATGATGATAAAGGTAAAAATATAAGCGGACGGGGGCAGCATTTTTCAGTTTTTGCCCCGCCTCGAAAAAATTGAAGATCCGGGCTGGCATTTAGTTATGTGACCTTGGCCGATAGGAATGTGCTTTAAAAAAAATAAAAAAGGGCGCGGATATTCATTTGTTTTCCCGCGCTTTTACACAGATGTCGGTACCACCCTGTAGTGACTAGTCACGAATTGTTTGTAATTCTAAAATTATGGTTATAAATTATGTAACTCACTGGCGATCATAAAAGTACTGAATAAAAGAATATGAGCAAGGAATATCTCGAAGTTTTATTAGGGATCCTACAGTAGTAAAGACTCCTATTTCTAAAATGAAAAAACATTTAATATAAGATTAGCAAAGCTATTTAAATTATTGTAAAGCTCCGACGTAACCACATTATTTTCATTACATTCAAGAGAGTAACCACGAGTACATTATATATGTAATGAAATGCATCGTCAGGATAGTCCATCTGGGACCACAGCGCTTCCAACAACTTTCCAAAAACTTTTCTGATTAAAACCACAACCGCAAACATGTACTGAATAATTAACTAGGAATTATTTACTGCCACTCGTATTTCTATAATTTTATATAATAATAATCTATACATATAATAAAATTTGTAACTAAGCCGAATCTGTATATTAAATATTTTTTGGAAAATTTTATTGAAGTAGACATTATTATCGATACAGAGGCCGAATCTATAGTTTTTAGAATCTGTCTGCCTGTTACCGCATCACGGAAAAAACACTGGAGGGATTTTGATGAAAATTGGTGGTGATAGCTGGTTATCCGGGTCAATATATAGGATACTTTTTACCGCGGGAAAATATCTCATTTCTGAGAAAAAATACAAAAATCGCAATGTAAGAGTATACTAATATGTAAAACCTAAGAATTTGGTTTTCGGTCATCTGAACGCGGGCGGAGCCGCGGGCAATGCTAGTAATAATATATAATAAAAATAGTGGATAAATCTATATTTAAATAGGCAAAGATAAAACAGCGCAGTAACTTTTTCTCGTTTATTTTTCAACAGATTTTCGTTATTTTTTTTTTTGTTTATTAGCTGTTACCGAGCTAACGAGTGCTATCTGTAAAAAAAATTGGAAACAGATTTGTTATATAGATAGGTAAATTCTATTCATGTAATATATAAGTTTTTCTCAAATTTTCAATAATTATAATCGGTTGATTTTCGACCACTAGGCGATCACTAGTTACTACCACCTATAAACCACCTATGTATGTAATAAGACAGTGGTCGATGATTCGACTACAATATTGTGTATGAATTTGGTAGAATTTTTCCCTTTTTACGCAATGAAATACTCTTATCACCTACATATATATATAACTAGCATTGCCCGCGGCTCCACCCGCGTTCAGGTGACCAAAAACCAAATTCTTAGATTTACATATTAGTATACTCTTACATTGCAATTTTTGTGTTTTTTCTCAGAAACGAGACATTTTTCCGAGGTAAAAAGTATCTTATATGTTGACCCGGATAACCAGCTATCACCATACCAAATTTCATAAAAATCCCTCTAGTGGTTCTTTCTGTGATGCGGTAACAGACAGACAGACAGACAGACAGACAAAAATTCTAAAAACTATAGATTCGGCCTCTGTATCGATAATAATGTTTATTTCAATAAGATTTTCCCAAAAATATTTAATGTACAGATTCAGCTTAGTTACAATTTTATTATATGTGTAGATGTACTGAAAAGACTATGGTCATAGCGTTGCAAACTCTATTTACTCTTATAATAACAGTATAAACTACGATACAATGTTAGTAATTCACTTAATAATTATGGGGATCAAAAGATCAATTTTACCACTACTATACTACATTATTTGCTTTATCTATTTTAATAATAATAAACTGATCTATTTATATATTACATATGTAGTATATAGAAACGAAATATTACTCGCTCCATGTTTAACTGATACATCACGAAACCTCAAAACTGCGAATATGATCTTACGCAATATTTTATGGAAAATATTATCGCCTATTTACATAGATTTTTTACATATATTTTGAATTTCTAGATAAATTGAAGCAAAATTGATTTCACAAGCCAGAAAACTGCCATTTGTTTTTTGTTCAACCGTCTAAAAAAACAAAAAAAAAACGTCGTTTGAAAATAGACTATTTGGCTAATTACAACGATGACGACTCCAAGAATTACTTTTTAACCAAATAGATACATATATCAACTTCAAAGGAACTTTAGAAGTTATTATTATATTACTACTAGGATTAGAAAAGATTTTTCATGAAATATCCATTGTATAAACTATGCACTAACAAAACCATGAAAATCAGATCTAAATTGGCGAAGTTATCGCGTAACAAACACACAAAAGACTACGCCCGGAATGAGTATTGAGTACCTCCTCTTTTTTAAAAATCGGTAACTGGTGGTGAATGTAAATAAAAATTCATTTAATAAAATAAATTGGAAATGTTAATTAAATTTAATTATTAGCGTCATGATGCACAGCAATAAAACCATCAAACAACGATTGTAACTTCGGTTCGAGCCTGAGTTCAGCACAGTATCAATTCTAATTTCAGACCCACTCAAGTTTGTCTGTTAAATCTCCAAAACATTACGTAGGTAAGTCACACCGGCCATCTAGCGCGTTATAATTGCTAAAGTTCACCGTAATTTCTTTATGAAATTTCGTCCCAAATATCTTAATTAAAGGGTGAGACTTTCGCAATTACGTTACAAAGCAGACATGCTCTCAAAATTTAATGAATTGTAACAACTTGCCACAAACTTACTATATAATTTGCAGTTTTACAAGGGCTGAAGTTACGCTAAAGTAGCTACAACTCTATATGTACTTCAAATCTCCCTCAACTTTTTTATGATATTTGTAAAAATTATAAGCTATATTATGAATATTTGTTTCAGAAATGTTGTCTACAACCTCAGTTTGACTGACCTTACGGAACAGCGAAGATTAGTGTGGTACTCATCAGAAAATGACGTCCAAATGTGTGTCGTCAAAGGAAAAGATGAGGTGAGGACATCAAAAATTTTGCTTACTTTGTAAATAAACAAATTTTAATATGCGTGATTTAACTTTAAAATATTTTTACACAATGTTAGGGAATATTCTCTGTTGATTATATTACAAACTAATAAACTGTCCCCGTTTCGCTCAGGTTTGACGACTCAGTGACAAAACATCGACTTAAGACTTTCCTTTACTTTCAATTAATTTAATATGTTTTGTTTATTTCTGTATCACGCAGGTTATAAATAGCGTTAGGTACGGGTCCCTCATATTCTATGAACTATATAATTTATTGAAATATATTTAATATACATTTGTAATAATTTTTTAAATAAATATGTTGGAACATTAAAACACAGCACCATCTAGTTCCGTGGTAAGCTACGAGGCTTGTGTTATGGATACCAGATAGTTGATACATTACACATATATAACTTTAAATACATACATATTATAAATATAAACACCCATGACTGGAGTACAAACATTCGTGCTCATCACACAAATGAATGCCCCCAGCGGGACTCGAACCCGCGACCGCCGGCACAGCAAGTAGGGTCACTACACACTGAGGCAAACGTGTACATCTAAATTTAAAATATTGTTAAAAATTTTGTAAAAAGTCATTTAAGCTCGTGGCTGGAAGCTGAGCTTTATGTTTGCTAGTAAATAATTAATTCAAGAATATATAATATGCATTTATCTGATAAAATAAAATATTCACCTTATACAATACCAACATTACTTACCTTGGAGCGTAATTGAATTTGGGGCTAGTACTAGCATATGAAACAAGACCGTGTTCTGTGAACATCTACCGAATACCGGCAAATTAAAATGCCAATCGAGCGGAAATTCGTTCGTTGAACATTGAAATAGCAAAGCATTTTATTTAACTAACGTTAATACGAAATGAAAATTTTGGAATAGATATTTAAATGCACAAAGCTAAATGAACAATCAGGATAAAATGTATAGCATCGAATGATTTTAAAAATTAGAATAATATCCTTTTAAATTTCATTATATAAAAATAAAGACAGTGAACGAACTGTAAACAGTGTTCCAAACGTTTACTTACTTCGAAACAATGTCCAATACAATGCGATCCTTAGGTAGTATCGGATTCCTCACCAACATCTCACGTTGATCTGCAAGTAGATCAGGCTTTTGGTGGCTCGAACGGAATTCATGCCTCGATTGCACTGCAAGAGACGTGCTACGACTAAAGACACACTCTAAACTAGACCCAGCCTAAGTAAATTTCCATTTGCATTATTAGCATCAACGAAATTGTGAGTAACAGCTTTTAATGAGTTTTAACCGTTGAATTTAAAAATAGGAATAAAGTTATGGAATTAATAGCACCTCCATTTATTTAGATTTAAAATCCTAAGCAGAAGACCAAGTTACAAAACCTTTCAAATGGACGGTCTATTTAAATTCTGTTAAGGATCTCGTGCTCGGAGTCGTAGTAACTGGTCGATAGACGAACAAGTGTGACTCCAAAATAGAAACTTGCGAGGTTGTTTTATTCTGCTTCAGTACATATATAATTTAGAATGAAACTATTCTACCAATATACATTTTATTCAATATACTAATACCTACGTACTATAGTATGTGATTTAAATAAATTTAAAAAAGTACATAAACATATTAATTTGTAAAAGTCTATTAGAATTTTTATTAAATATACTTTTTTTAATATGAAAAAAAAATGTAAAAGTATATTTTGATTTCATTTTTGATTTATTATATGTTGTGTAATAGCTACGAATCTCGCTATGTGTATGTATGTATGTCTCCGACTGCATAATACTATAAGTATGTTCCTTCGTCAACTTTTTTAGTTCGCTTTTAAGCAGTCGTTTTTTTTTGTAAATTATGTTTTTTTGCTTGCTTGTGTGTTTTGTATAAAGTTAAGTATATTTATAATTTTCTTTTATGTACCTATTATCTTATTATGTAACATTATAACATATAAAATTAAATAAAATCAGCTAGTTATAAAATCGTAAGAAATGTGACAAATATGATATACCTACACCTAACACAGCAAAAAACAGTTTGAAAATGAAGTTGACCTCATGTAAAGTGTTAGTATCTCCGTTGTATGAAAACGCCATAAATCCTTCGTGTCAACATTAATAGTGTAATGGGAATGGCGAATGCGTTTAATAGCGGTCCACAGCTTGCGTAACAGCTGACACTTGAGTGCGGATACACTAGGTAGACCATTAACAAGAAGGCAAATTGCTTAAAAGAATACCTACATGGCTGATACATTGAATAAAAATATTTTAACAAAAAATAAAAACCGACTCCAGGCACTAAAATGTAAAAAATAACTAAACGGAGGAAAAATTTTATTGTTAATTTAAAAAAACCGCTCTACCAATTTCGATAAAATTTATATGGAACCACCTGGGAAGTATAACCTTTAAAACAAAAAAAAATCCAAATCGGTTCAGGCGTCTTCGAGTAATCGGTAAACATACATAAAAAAAGAAAAATGAAGATTCAGACGAATTGATAACCTCCTCCTTTTTGGAAGTCGGTTAAAAATATCAAGTACTCTACTTGATAGTTTTAGATAAGGCACAGCTCTATTTGAAACTCTGTTTATGATTGATGACAAACTTGTATGAAAATATTTATGATTAAAACCAAAATATTTAGGACTAATAAATATAAAAATGTTAGTTTTGTATATATGTAAAGACATTCAAATTTCTGATTTGACCAACGGGTTTATCGTTCTATACTTGAATGTATATGTTTTATGTATAATTTAAAAGAAGTTATATCTATCTAAGCAATAATATTGTTTAGATGAATAATTAATATTTTTTAATTTTTAATATTCTTTAGGGTTAAGTATACATTATAATAATAGCAACACTAAATAATATTAGTAATTAATAAAGTTTTTTCAAAATTGTAATATTTATAATAATATCAGCAAAAATTAAATAAATAATATTGCTATATTTAATTATAATATTTATAAAAAAAATGTTTAGAAATAAAAATCAACAAATATTGTAATACTTTATTGCCATTTTTTAATTTTTGATATCATTTTTGTAAAATAGTGGGTAGGCACCGTCTGTAACAAGTAGGTATATATGTTTGAGACGTCTATAACCTTAGTCTCTCCCGTGACCATGATTGCTGTAAAGCATTTGAAACGTCGGGAACCAAAAATCAAAATAAATCCGCGAAATAATCCGAAAAGATAGTTTTATTTAAAATATTTATATGTAATAGATACGAGTACTATTATATTATACACTTTACTTTATATTTTATTTATATATTTATTATATACTTTAAGAAATCGCAAATAGTTATTTTTACTATATATATTCTATCACGGAAAATGTCAATATAAGACCCGTTATTTTTAGAGTGCAATATTGAAGTCAATGAATTTCATTGAAGGAAACTAACTTCAGTGAATAGTTATCACGTAATTCATGAATGTATTTGACATTTTCGTCATAACGATAAACACTTAAAATGGCGGTGCAGCTCGCCAAACGTCTCTGATGCATGCAAATGTACTATGAAATGACAATAAATTGGCCTACGATAGCACGTTCTACTGTTTTAGTACTGTTTATTGGTTAATAGTGCTTAAAGCTAATAGGTGATGGTTATTGAAGTTCCGAGTAAATTATCTTAAAATGAGCTTTTGTAGATCTTATTAATACTCGAACTTATATTTCTATTACTAATTTAAAAACTCAAATTCAAAAACAAGTATGAATAAGAACATATGAAATAAATATTTACAAAAATACCAACGACATGCATTCGCTCAAGCTCTACAACTTAAATATACTCACTAGTTATTGAGCAACTTTTAGCAACATGTAATGATCCTCCAAAATCGTAATATACAGAGATATATGTAGTTTATTTAATTCAATGATAATAGCGCTGAGAAATAGACTTTTTATACTCAAATAAGCAGTTCCGGAGCTCACTCCCTACATCTATACTCAGAAACACTGCTATTTAATAACTTCTTAAAATAACATATAATATTATTCCTAGTTCCTACCTTCCGTCCGTCGCAAACTGCCTAATCTCTGTTATATCAACTTAATATACAGTGCTTGTCTTCATTGTCGGGATTATTGCCTCATAGGTGTCAAGACTGACATGATAATCTGCATAAGGCCTGTATAATTTAATATGCAGATAAAGTGATATTTGCGAAACTATACATATTTATGTTTGTGTATCTTTTAATAATGATCTAGCATCATAGGATTTTCTTAGTACATTAATTTGGAATGAAGTGACTCCAAAGTCTTTGTCGAGTTACTCGCTTCGCACGACATTACTGAAAAATAAATCTATCCCACGGGAACCGTACATTTTTCCGGGATAAAAAGTGTATGTGCTATTCCAGACTATATAATCTATCTCTGTGCTAAATTTCGTCCAGATCCATTCGGCCGTTATGGCGTGATTGAGTAACAAACATCCATCCATCCAAACTTTCGCATTTATATTATATTAGGTCTTAGTTTAAAATAACTTAGATCATTTAATCAAAACTTAATTTAAATCAAAAGAATCTCTCTCAGTTCTTCTTAGCATATATAAAGACATTTAGGGTTCAATTATATAAAAAAAGTTATGAATTATTTTATATAGACAAAACAATTTTAAGAGAATGATTTCACGATAGATATGTCTTTAAACCTTTCAGTCATGAACGAATTAACCACTGGACCAGACATATAAGCGGACGTACCTTTAACGGTCATGTCAGTAACCAGGGAATTTTAGCCTAGGTCGTTTGTTTTTTGTATCAGTCTCAAGCACTTACTTGTCAACAAAACATCTCCCAAAAATGACTAAATGTTCTGTTAATTGGTGTAAAAACTATAACGGCGGAAGCAGCACTATTTCTTTTCACTTGTAAATACATTATTTTATTACATTTATTGTTATTTATCACAAAATTTAATTAAATGTAAAATAAAATGTCATATTATCCAACTATGTTAAATATAGTCGATATTTCTATGTATTGTTGACATCTGACAACCATCATAAGCGGGCTGGATTATACCATTCAGAACAAATGACAAAACTGTCGAGTGAGTCCATTTGACATCGACTAGTGCTTGACAATGTCGAAAAATATATCGATATTTGACGAAATAACTGAACGAATTGTGTTATTTGTACAGTACAATAACATAAAATACTTTTATCACAGTATCCCACAATTTGATGACAATAAATTTATAAAAATATTTTCTAAATCAAATAAAAATATAAATGCAATAATTATAATTAGTATGTGTACTTAATTTTTTATTTTATACCACATTTATATACTTTGGAATATTATTCCATTGTAATAATAATAAAGATCATTTTATTTCAACACATAAATTACACAAAATCAAACAATAATGTTTTAGCACTAAACTTCTGGGTTGGCGATTTGTAATAAAACACTTTACCACTTGCATTAATTATTTTACTTTCACGATCCAATACTCACTTTTTCACAATTTGCAATCACTTTTTCTTTTTCCTAATTTCACAAATGTTTATTAATAACTGAGCAATATTAGGACAGTGTCACATTTTTATAACTACCCGAGACAATCAATTGCCAATTAAAATAGTTCAATAACAGAATCAACAAAATCACTTTATTTAATTAAATTAGCTTCATATTTTTTTTTATCTTTACAAAATAATATTTATTATATATTAATGGAATATACACCCGATATTCATTTGTTTATTAATATTATTATAGGCCAACAGTATGTTGCCATCAATGCCATCGTATTTATATAAATCAAAAATAATTATTATTTGACACAATATTATTGCCTCTTTAATTCATTTATTTTAATTTATTTTAATAAATACAGATATTTTAAATTAAAAGATGTAAAATATGATGACTATGCTAACCAATGTCTAAAATGTCATTCATTGGTTCATCGATATATGTATTTTATCGATTACGTTCAAGCACTAGAAATATTGTATTGTGTATCAGTGCTTATAATAATGTAATAAAATCTTTGTGTGCGTTATGCGTCACTTGGTTGAACTAGTTTTCATACATTTGTATTTTATGTCAGGTCCAGTCTCTAATTCGTCCATGCTTTCAGTGAATTAACGAAATAGACCCAATATTGCTAACATGTTTCCATTATCAATATTAGTATCTAGCAACCATTGATGCTCATACGTGTCTACCCTTAGATCTAATCAGACTTCAACTCAGTGTGCTCGAATAGAATTACAGACGGACATCTAGAGGTGTATGGCAATGCAAATGTAATCATATTCACGTTCATTGCTTGTGATCAGATGGAATACGCTCGACATGAGTTCAACTACATCTAAGGCTGATGAAAGATTGCATTTTTGTTCAATTCAAATCGCGAGTAGCTTGAGAAATGATGTTATTTGTATTTCTTATAAACCAGTTTATATATAGATAACTAGCTAGACTCAGTAATGGTGACAGTGTATTATTTAAATGGTTTTATGATAAAATAATAATATTATAATATTGTCATCCAATGGCATTCAAGAGAATGACGGCAATTTGATTTTTATATTTCGTACTATTATAATTCTAATACTTTAAGATGTCTACAAAAACGACAAAATATAATTTAAATCGACCTTTAAGTTAAAATATGATTTCCGTTTTCAAACGTTATTTTTCTATTCATTTTTTGGGTCTATCGATAACATGATTAATATTTATACCTATAGATTTTAATGATTTAGATAATTAAATAAAGAAATTATATTTTTCCTTTCATTTAGTGAAAGCCTACAACTACTTTCAAAACACCTATATGTTAAATCAAATAGTACTAAAAGGAATTTATTATTTAACACTAAAAAAAATCATTTTTAAACACAATTACGATTCTTCGTTCACATATTTCCGATTCTATACAGTGTACCGTTGAATTCGCACAAAACACAAAAGATAGAGTCATTTGTGTGTATCGGGTGGGTAATAGCGTAGAAGACACCGTGACTTCTCGTGAAACCAAGCCAAATTGCTAGTGACATGAGGTCTAGGAAAAACAAAGCGGTTTTCCTGTTTCGTATGTACCGCGTGTATCGTATTGCCCTATCTGAGGGTTATCTTTCTGAGCATCGTCGTGTCGCGGAAATAAATGACTTTTGCTTTATATTATGTTAATAATACTACGGATTTATCAAATTGTGTTTTTGATATAACTATAATTACAATGTGGGTGTTATATCTATACTATCTGTACTAATATTATAAAAAGGCAATGCAAGAGAAAATCAAAAAAAAAGTGTGTTAAAAAATGTTATGTTTGTTTAAATAAAAAAATTGAAATAATAGGAAAGATTTATTTTTTGTTTGTTTGTACCGAACAAGCTTAGAAACTACTGAACTGATTTAGAGAAGATAGTTTCAGGGATATAAAATAGTTTTTATCCCAGAAATCGTCCCTGAAGGGGGTGAAAATGGGGATGAAAGTTTGTATGGGGAAGCAACCTAGGGACGAACCCGAGTGCAGCAAGGGTAATTCACTAGTTATTCATATTTTAGCTATTTCTTATTATTATGGAGAATTTTGATTTCTTAGACGAAGTAAAACTCGGCGTTTTCATAAATTTCACTTAGCAAAGACCACTTCAATCGAACACAAAAATAATTTTATTTTTTATTAAACATAAATTAAAAAAAATACATTCAACGTTTTTATATATACGACTAAAAATTCGAAGCAAGATTGAGCTATCGAATTACACCTATCAACACACCACAGATGAGTTACCAAATATATCTGGCCCAAACTACCTTTATTAGAAAAAAATATTTTGCGTTTTTTTTAATTACTCCATCTACTTTAATTAAAAAAAAACGAAGCCTAAGAAGCACATGAAACACTTGTGCGTGTATTTCTCTCTATAGATAATCAATAGAAACATTCAATTCAAGACGTGTCCATAAAACAAATAAGCCGGGTACATGTTACTACGTCGATTTTCGGAGAAAACCATTGATCAATTATTGAATGGAAATACAAAGCTTTATAAACGAAGGAATTCTAACAATACATTCCATGTTACGCTATCGACGGACATTTCTCTATTCAGAATTTATAATGACTTTATTTTTTTTTCTTGTTTTTTTTTCATTTTGTAAAAGATTAATACTTTCTTAGATTTACGCGAATATTTGACATTTTAAATAAAACTATCTTTTCGGATTATTATAAAAAAAATATAAAAATGTTTAAAGTTATAAAATATTGTAAGGTACTTGGTGCAATTTTTCATTTTGTTAATTGTGGGTAGGCTGTCTGTAACAACTACACCTTCGAGACATCTAACACCTCAGTCTTTCCCGTGACCATGATTGCTGTAAAGCATTCGAAACGTCGGGAACCAAAATTCAAAATAAATCCGCGAAATAATCCAAAAAGATAGTTTTATTTAATTTGTAAAAGATTATTTTATATTCGACCTGAAGTATGAAATTTTTGATGTCCACGTTTTCAAAACAAAGAAAGAAAAACAATTAGAATATTTTTAATTAATGCAATCTACACACTTTCAAAAAGGTTTTAATAGATAATTGACTAATAACTAAATATTTTCAAAAACATTGTAGTATCATATATCATTTGCCATTTTTACAGGAGAGTTGCCAGAACTACATCCGCGTGCTGGTATCACTCGGCACGGGGCGCCTATTGGTCTGCGGCACGAACAGCTTCAGACCTTTCTGCAGAGAGTACAGCGTGCAACGCGACTCTTACCATATGGAAAAAGAGAAGTCCGGACAAGCAGTATGTCCGTATGATCCCGAACATAACTCAACAGCTGTTTACGCGGGTAACTATTATAATTCCTAACATTTAATTACAATTGAAGTGCGTTGTAGGCAGAACCATCTTGGGATGGATCTAATCGTTTTCCACCTTTTTTTCTTTCTATCTAAAAATCACCGTTTTGAATATTCGAAACAAAAATATTAGAAAAATCTACACAATAATCTGTGCATGCGATACGATTAATTACAAAACACCTGTAAAATGACGTAGGATTGAATATAAAGCAAAAAAAACATTCTCGCAATTAGACTCTGGGTGATGACATGTGACAGGTCACGGGGCACTAAAGCCGATTGCGCACGAATAAGCCTTAAATGAATGGGCGAAGAGCAACGGCTCGCACGATTTACGTGGACGTTAAGCGATTCACGGTCACAATTCAATCTTATGTCCGTATCCCTCATGCTTAATGTTAGGTTGAGCTTTAGTCCCTATATTACCTAACCGGTTTCGAATGTACCATGTGTGATCTATACATATAATGAAATTCTAACTGAGTCGAATCTGTACATTAAATATTTTTTTGAAAATCTTATTGAAATAGACATTATTATCGATACAGAGGCCGCATCTATAGTTTTTAGAATTTTTGTCTGTCTGTCTGTCTGTCTGTCTGTTACCGCATCACGGAAAAACCACTAGAGGGATTTTGATGAAATTTGGTATAGTGATAGCTGGTTATCCGGGTCAACATATAGGATACTTTTTACCACGAGAAAATATCTCATTTCTGAGAAAAAATACAAAAACTGTAATGTAAGAGTAGACTAATATGTATAACCTAAGAATTTGGTTTTTAGCCATCTGAACGCGGGCGAAGCCGCGGGCAATGCTAGTATATAATAATTTTGTAATTTCATAACACACGTAACGATATAACGGTGATTGTAACTATCAGATAATATAACGAAATTTCGTTCATAAAATACAAAGAAAAACTAAGCTAGATACAATATAAATCAACTATTTTCGGAAACAAAGCTATTATTAACAAACGACTTAATTAAACAACGCGCAGACTTTCTACAATAGGCACATATATTTTCGTATTCTCCCTCTCTCTCAACTTAATATTGATTTTATTCGATTGCCGTAAGTTTTTTACTGGGACATATAGTGAAGAGGCTATTATTCAAGTTTCGCGAATATCGTATCGATCATATTTTAACAATGGTTAAGGGCACATATGTGTTATAGAAACGTCTCATAGTCAGGAAATTGGGAAAGAAATCTTTTTTTATATGGAATGAACCCACTTTCACAGTCTGGTGGCGTACAATGGCCACTCATTGTTGCGTTGAAAGGGATCGAGTACGTTTTATAACGTGACAACTATACAAAAAATGACGTATGGACATTATAAAGTATTCGTATAAATGCTTGAAAAACGCGCAAGCATTTAAAATAACTAACTTGACGTGAAAAATAAAGACGCTTGATTGCAAATGTATAAATATAGCTGCTATTATAAATACAAATGTTTGTATGTGCACGTTTGTGATGCTTTCACGCTGAAATGACTGGCCAGATTTGAATGAACTTTGAAACATACAAATAGATTATGACCTGGACTAAATACTTAGGGTATTGTTAGATACTTAGGCCCTTAGGGTATTGTTAGGCACTGGAGAAAGCGAAATTCGTTAGTTACTAAATAAATCGTAAGATACATAATAAACCTTATAATAAAAAACCACGCATATTTTGCTTTGAATAAGTAACACGATGTTAGGAAATGACTGATTCATATATCATATACACTTAGCAAGACTTCTTGAAATTCAGCACTCCCCGAACATATTTATAAACAGAATAAATTATCCTAATAAGACATAAATCTCTCCTATAAGGAGAAAAGTCATAAAACATAAGAAGACGCAAGGACGTGCTACTGGTCTAAACACTCATAAATAATACGAGTCGTGACGAAAATCTCCAACGAATCCGGACTTGTTTAGTTAGTGAGATTTTTTGTTCCAGAGAAACCATACGTTTTCCTTGTTTCTCGAGCCCGTTCATTGTGCTCTGAAGTACACGAATATATAGCGAGATTATCCCAAACAAACAAACATAATTTTCTTGCCTACTCACCTTTGTAAGCGAAAATCATTTATTATTCGTTTCTTGGAACACGTTAACCTCCTATTATTGGTTACGGTCGGCTGAGCTTTAACGGACTATGGAAATAGTCAACATATACCTTAAATATTAGATAAAAGACCGAACGTAATGGAATTTTGGGAAAGTAATATTTATATTTTGAGCAAAATTAAATAAGTTTTCAAAAACGACGACATGATTGGCTCAGTTTGTAGTGACCCTACTTGCTGTGCCAGCGGTCGCGGGTTCGAGTTCCGCTGGGTGCATTCATTTGTGTGATGAGCACGAATGTTTGATTTATATTTATAATATGTATGTATTTAAACTTATATATGTGTAGTGTTGTAGTGTTGATCTAGAAAAGGCGTATGATAGGGTTCCCCGAGAGGTTTTGTGGTGGGCTTTGAAAGTAGAAGGAGTGCCTGCTAAGTACGTGGAATTGATTCGTGCTATGTACAGAGAGTCTAGCACTCATGTAAGATCGATCGCTGGGAACACCGAAAAATTCAGTGTCTCTGTAGGCTTGCACCAGGGATCGGCTCTAAGTCCATACCTCTTCCTGTTGGTAATGGATGCTCTGACATCGGACATACAGGGGGAGGCACCTTGGTGTATGCTATTTGCAGACGACATTGTATTGGTCGGAGAAGACGGGTGCGAGGTCCAGAGCAGATTGGAAAAATGGCAACAAAGACTGGAGAATGTTGGCTTAAAAATCAGCAGAACCAAAACTGAATATATGTTCTGCGATTTTGGCGGTCTCTCCAGTCCTCAAACCATTTCTCTGGATAAAAGAGCGATAACAGTCTGCTCCGACTTCAAGTACCTTGGCTCCCTCTTTCAAAGCGATGGCGAAATAAACCGGACTGTACAGCATCGAATCAATGCAGGGTGGATGAAGTGGCGGCAGGTAACGGGAGCAATTTGCGACCCCAAGTTCCCTATGAAATTAAAGGGACAAATATATAAGACGATCATCAGACCTGCCGTCCTATACGGATCTGAAAGTTGGCCCACAAAGAGAACGGATGAAAGACGCATACATGTAGCTGAAATGCGAATGTTGAGATGGATGTGTGGTGTGACTAGAATGGATAAGGTGAGGAATGAATACATTAGAGGGAGCCTGAAAGTTGCGCCAGTGGATGAAAAGTTGAGAAGCAATAGGTTATCGTGGTATGGACATGTGATGCGGAGGGAAGAGCAAAGTGTGGTGAAAAGAGTTTTGTGTATGGAAGTTAACGGGGACAAGAGAAGAGGACGACCAAAGAAAAGATGGATGGACTGTGTAGAAGAAGATATGATTAGAAAGGGAGTAAGCAGTGAAATGACGAATAATAGAGTAGACTGGAAGAATAAAACATATTGCGCCGACCCCAAATAAAAATTGGGACAAGGGCAGGAAGAAGAAGAAGATATATGTAGTGTATCAACTATCTGGTATCCATAACACAAGCCTCGTAGCTTACCATGGAACTAGATGGCGCTGTGTGTTAATGTCCCAACATCATATTTAATGTTATGGGGGTTATTTTGTCATGAGTTAAAAGAATCTATATGAGTTTAACGCTTACATAAAAACGTAAATCTTTAATGAGATAATTAAATAACATACTCGTTATACTAAAATAAAACATCTACACTGAAAGATGGGGGCTATTGCTATAAGATCAGGTCACTGATACAATTATCGCTGTACGTAAATATTAATAGAGCATTTTAGATTAAGACATTTATCAGTCTGGACGTTAAAATGTATCGCAGTATTGGGACTATCATTTAACAGGCGTCGCACGTAAATTGTATCGTAGTTAAAACGTACAGCCAATCTCTTTTAGTAAAAGTAAGTTTAATGCCACGAAAGTAAAAAAATGTGTATATTTTTCAACACAATTAGTTTGAGATGTAAAATTTTAAAATATCTATTCATTGCATTTGCAACGATCGTTTGATATTCGGGTGACAATAGAAAATATTTGTGTAATGGAAAGCGCTGTTTACGTAGTTCGGCACAATTCACCCTAAAATAACACTTAATGCAACAACGGTGAACATCATCAATTATCCTCCCTTTATACAATTTCTTTATGTTACATCCCCCTTGTAAATTTCTGCTCATTCATCATGAATACAAACATAAAAATGACAACCAAAGAAATATAATTATGCAAGTAGTATATAAATTTGAAGTGATTTAAACGTGGTATTGGTGAATTGAATAAGAAATCAGAAAAATTGTAAATACTTTTTAGTAGCTTTTACACGCCAGTTGCCACTCCGATAATAAATAGCCGATTTTGGTTTAATTCGAATCCTTTACGTGACAGTAAAAGTTTGACTAGAAATGGTTCAGTCGTTTCGAAATCACTGACACACTCCAATTTCATTTATAAGATATCTCTTGCAAAACGCGAATAAATGCGATTAACGGCCTGCTATTTGGAATATATTAAAAAGAAAACAATTGGCAAGATTAAAATACCAAATAAAAATTAAATTCTAGTACAATGAGTTATTATATTTAAAGCTAAAACTCTTAAATGTAACAAATAAATAACAACAGGTAGTACCTACTGTCAAACTACGGCTAGATCTAACATAGCAATACTAAATTCTCGCCGGAAGTTGCACTGAATTCTCTACCAATTAAGAGAGCATCGTTAATTACTATATATTAGTTGACTATTACTGCAATGGTTTTCTCTTAACGACTGAAGCACTGCAATGCGGTACATTGCAGGGCACAGACCACCACTATACATAACGCTATGGATTCAATTTATGCGGGCCATTTTGATATTTATCACAATATGCTAAAGTTCATTTTAGCGTGCAAAAATTTTCATTTTAACTTGAACACTGAAACAAAGGATGAAACGTATGGTTAGTAGGCAATTTCGC